GCTGATTGGTTCAGCCCAGCAATGATCAGACAACAGCTATATATACATATGTATATAAAGCAAGTGAGCTGTTTGGGGATGTCAAATACACTCACACACACACTTGAGCGATAGAATGACAAAGAATTTATTAATGAGTTAGCTTGTTAACATACCAACAATGCCTGTTTCAAATCAGACCAACCCAACGGTTTTTAGTCCTAACACATGCCACCGCATGGTCTGAGAGTGGAACACGCTGGTACTCACCTACACATGGTACATGGTTTCGATACAGCATGGTGTCAAAATAGAGATGCCATGAAACTGCGTAAAAAGGATAGCAAGCATGGGCTACAACATGCAGTACAGGCAGATGCAGTGAGAACTAACAAAGTGTAGAGTGACCATTTTTGTAACCAAGGCCACCCCCAACGCCAGGACAAGCTGTTCCACAACAGACCAAACAACTTACACATGCCACCGCGTGGTCCACTGTTGGAAGAGATCGATATTCCACAATCCGTACTACACTCTGTTGAAACAGAGAGTCTGTTACTGATATCAGCCGGGGCAATAGACATGGAACACAGAATGCAATTCATAGGAGAATTACACAGTAGTTTTGTAGCCATGCCACCCCCCCCTCCCCACACACACACAGACACCCCATACAGTCTCCAAATGGGTTCCTGCTATCATTCATCTTCAGTTGTTTGCTTAATTCTTCTCATTCCTTCACTGGTACCAACTGGGAATGATCGTACAACACATACCCCCAGAGTCCTCGCAACTGTGACCATGGACAAGTAACAAAAATCAATCGCAGTTCTATTTTGTAGCGTAGCATGCCTTATTAAGTTTAGGTCAAGCAGCAAGCCAGATAGCGCAGCCCTAGTGGCATTGCTAAATTTCCTTAGCCAGCACCTTAGGTGATTCAGGGTGGTTAACGCTCAAGCACTAGCCAGGCCAGGTTTCATACTATTCATCCGCCATGAAACTAAGTCCTTTTCCATGCATACATGAAAAATGTGCAACAGGTGACCGACAACGAGCCCAGGAAGCTCAATCCTTGGGGCAGGAGGCTTGGTGTCTCCCCAGCTCTGGATAACCAACCATTCCAGGAGTCACTCCAGGTCTCGCAGATTGACGCTCAGGACACGTATTGGTCACAAAAGTGGCTACCCATTGCTTTCCCAATGGGGCTCCAACCAGACAGGTGGAAAAAGGTTCTGCGGTGTAGCAAGACCCAGGCACGTAGTATCTTGGCCTGGGGCATTAGCCCGGGTTACCATATGTTCTGTTGAGGGAATGCGATGATCCAGGCCAACCTGAAAAACAGCCGGGGGGGATCAGGGGTGAAAGACAGCAGCTGGGAGAGAAACAGAAGTGATAAACACCCTTACAGACACTAAGGTCAGTGAAGAAGGAGGGGGAGGAAGTGTTCCAGGTGTCAGAGCTGAAGTTCCTCTGTGGCCTGTGGTGAGGACCGTGGTAAAGCAGGCTGTCCCCCTGCAGCCCATGGAGTACCACGGTGGAGCAGGGTTCCACGCTGCAGCCTGTGGAGGAGACCACGCAGGAGCAGGTGGACCTCCACAGAACGAGACTGCGACCTGTGGAGGATCCCCACTGGAGCAGATTCCAGGCCGGACCTGTAGCCCATGGAGAGGAGACCACGCAGGAGCAGGTGACCTGGCAGGAGCTGCTGCCCGTGGGGGAGCCAGGCTGGAGCAGTTTTCTCCTGAGGGATGGACCCCGTGGTACGGACCCATATCTGGAGCAGTTCTGGAAGAGCTGCTGCCTGTGAGAAGCCCACACAGGATCAGTTCAGGAAGGACGGCATCCTGTGGGAGGGACCCCGCGTGGAGCAGGGACAGAGAGTGACCAAGAAGGAGCGGCAGAGACCAAGTGCCATAGACTGACCACAACTCCCATTCCCCCATTCCCCTGCATCTCTTGGGGGAAGGAGGTGGAGGAGGGTGGATGGGGAGAAGGCGTTTTTGGTTTATTTCCTTTGTTTCTCACTTCTCTAGCCTGTTAGTAAGAGGCAACAAATTTTATTATCTCCCTACGTTGAATCTGTTTTGCCCATCACAGCAATTGTTGAGCAATCTCCTCATCCTTATCTCAAGCCTTGAGCCCTTTGCATCGTAGTTTTCCTTTCAGGCCGTGGCATGGTTTACTGGATATGTTTCCAGCCACCCAGTAGTTGCTTCTACCATGGTGAGTATGTAACGTTTACCTTGGCAGCTTTGTGGAAGTGGTCCAATGTAGTCAATCTGCCAGGCCTCACCATTTCGAAATCCAAGCCATCTCCTGCTATTCCATGGCTTGCTTGATTGCAGCACAGATCTCACACTGATGGGTAACCTGTGTGATAGCCTCAATGGTCAGGTCCACCCCTCGATCACGAGCCCATCTGTATATGGCATCCCTCCCTAGATGTCCTGATGTTTCATGGGCCCATCGAGCTACAAACAGCTCACCCTTACGCCCCCCAGTCTAGGTCCACCTGAGCTACTTCAATTTTTGAAGCTCGATCTACTTCTTCGTTGTTCAGATGTTCTTCGGTGGCACGATTCTTAGGCATGTGAGCATCTACATGACGTACCTTTACAGCCAGGTTTTCTACCCGGGCAGCAATATCTTGCCACAGGGTAGCAGCCCAGATAGGTTTACCTCTGCGCTGCCAGTTGTTCTGTTTCCATTGTAGCAGCCACCCCTACAGAGCATTTGCCACCACCCATGCGTCAGTGTAGAGATACATTACTGGCCATTTTTCTCTTTCAGCAATTTCTAGGGCCAGTTGTAGAGCTTTCACTTCTGCATCCTGACTCGACTCACCTTCCCCTTCCATGGCCTCCACAACTTGTCGTGTGGGACTCCACACAGCAGCTTTCCACTCCCGATGGCTCCCTACCACACGGCAGGATCCGTCAGTAAACAACGCATACTGCTTTCTGTCTTCTGGAAACTCATTGTATGGTGGTGCCTCTTCAGCACAAGTTACTTCTTCTGTCGGTACTCCAAAATCCCTGCCCTCCGGCCAGTTCATAATCTCTTCCAGGATTCCCAGGTGGTTGGCTTTCCCCATTCAAGCCCGCTGTGTAATTAACGCTACCCATTTACTCCACATAGTGTCGGTTGCATGATGTGTAGTGGGGATTTTCTCTTTGAACATCCAATGTAACACAGGTAGCCGTGGGGCCAGGAGGAGTTGTGCTTCTGTACCAACAACTTCTGAAGCGGCTCGAATCCCCTCATATGCTGTTAATATTTCCTTTTCAGTTGGGGTGTAATTGGCTTCTGATCCTCGATAGCCCCGGCTCCAGAACCCCAGAGGTCGGCCTCGAGTTTCTCCTGGGGTCTTGTGCCAGAGGCTCCAGGTGAGCCCATGCTCCCCAGCTTCAGTGTACAGTATGTTTTGCACAGCTGGTCCAGTACGGACAGGCCCAAGGGCTACTGCACGAGCTATTTCTTGTTTGAGTTGTTCAAAGGCCTGTTGTTGCTCGGGGCCCCACTCGAAAGAGTTCCTCACTCACTCGAAAGAGTTCCTCTTTCCTCTTTCCAGTCACTCGATATAGAGGACTCACAAGCTGACTATAGCCTGGCACGTGCATTCTCAAAGTCCCACTCTACTCTGCAGTTCTGGGCACCACAGTACAAGAAGGACATTAAACTGTTGGAGAGTGTCCAGAGGAGGGCAACAAAGATGGTGAAGGGCCTAGAGGGGAAGACGTATGAGGAGCGGCTGAGGGCACTGGGCCTGTTCAGCCTGGAGGCTGAGGGGGGACTTCATCACCATTTACAACTTCCTCACGAGGGGGAGTGGATAGGCAGGTGACCTATTCTCTGTAAACACCAGTGATAGGACCCGCAGGAATGGTGTTAAGCTGAGGCAGGGGAAGTTTAGGCTGGACATCAGGAAGAGGTTCTTCACCGAGAGGGTGGTTGCACACTGGAACAGGCTCCCCAGGGCCGTAGTCACTGCACCAAGCCTGTCGGAATTTAAGAAGCATTTGGACTGTGCACTTAGGCACATGGTCTAAACTTTTGGGCAGACCTGTGCGGTGCCAGGAGTTGGACTCCATGATCCTTATGGGTCTCTTCCAACTCGGGATATTTTATGATTCTATGATTCTGTGTTTAAAGGGAGAATCCCTGCTACGCATCACACAACTGAAGCTACAAGACACTGGAACTCATGATAAGGAAGCGGCAGACAGACAGAGAAACAAATGTAAGGACTATAAATCTCGAAACTGGACATTGGAATTCATTATAAAGATACAACAAACAGAAGAATTAGCAACGACCAGCTGTTGCAATTAAGAAACATGCCAACTCAGCAGATTCCTGACCAAAGGTGAAAAGTATACTGTGAGGAAGACTCGGGGTCTTCCTCCCAAAGACTCCTGCCCACATCCCAAAGACCCCCGCCCACAATTCTTGGGAGGCTCTACGCAGGCGCAAGGTGCCAAAAGGCTAATTAGCATGAGAAGCGAGGGAAGGCGGGGATAGGTAATGAATATGTATAGGCGCTTGTAGAATATTGATAGACTGATTGTATAAATTCAAGACTGCTTTCCGCTTTGGGTATGCACAATAGGTGGAGAGATCCCCCGTGCATCCAGCGCTGCAATAAAGAATATACCACTTCAAGGAATTTCGGCTTCGATCTTTGAATCACCAACACCACCTTCCTTCCTTCCCTCTCACCCACGTAAATGTCCCAAAACAACGTTTTTATGCCCAAAACACCCAGCACCCCCCGTGAAGGCGATGAAATGAAGGAGGGCACGTTTGGGACAGGTGCAAGGACGAAATCCTTTATTCTGAGGGTGGTGAGGCCCTGGTGGAGGCTGCCCCATCCCTGGGGGTGCCCAAGGCCAGGCTGGATGGGGCTGAGGGGGGGGGGGCGGGGAATGGCAGCCATGTTCCTGCCCCCCCCCCCCCCACACTCAGGGTCCTCCAGGCCGCTAGGGGGCGCTGTGGGGAGGGCTGTGGGAGGGGGGGGGGCCGGCGGTGACGTCACGGGCACGCCCGGTGGGCCGAGGCGGCGGCGGGAGGCGCCGTGAGGCGGCGGGCGCGGTGCTGGGGGGGGGGGGACGCCATGGGGTACGTGACGGGAGAGCAGCTGGCCGGCTTCGGCAAGTACAAGGTGAGGGGCCGCGGGGGGGGTCTGCTGGGTGTGGGAGGGGGTTGTGGTGCCGGGGGGGGCGGCCCGGTGCTTGGCGGGAGGGGGGTTTGGGGAGAGGGGGGGAGTCGGGGCCTGGTGCCGGGGGCCCTGGTGCAGTGGGGGGGGAGTCCCGGTGCTTGGGGAGGGGGTCCCGGTGCTTGGGGGGGGGGTCTCGGTTCTTGGGGAGGGGGTCCTGGTGCTTGGAGAGGGGGTTTCAGTTCTTTGGGGGGGGGGGTCCTATGTGCTTGGGAGGGGTCAGGTCTTGATGCCGGGGGTCCTGGTGCTGGGGGGGAGTCGTGGTACCAGGGAGGGGGTCGTGGTGCTTTGTGGGGGGGGTCAGGTCTTGATGCTGGGGGTCCTGGTGCTGGGGGGGGAGTTGTGGTGCTGTAGAGGGGTCCTTGTCTGTAGTGGGGGGGTCTTGGTTACTGGGGGGGAGTCAGGTTTTGGTGCCAGGGGTCCTGGTGTTTGGGGGGGGCAGGTCGTAGTGTCGTGGGAGGGGGTCCTGGTACAGTGTGGGGGGGGGTCAGGTCTTGGTGCCAAGGGTCCTGGTGCTTGGGGGGGGCGGTCCTAGTGCTTTGGGGGGTGTCTTGGTGCTGGGGGGGTTCTCTGCTCCTTAGGGGGGGGGTCTTGGTCTTTGTGGGGAGGCGTCCAGACGGGCCTTGAGCATCTCCAGAGGAGGAGACCCCCCCAGCCTCCCTGGGCAGCCTGTCCCAGTGCTCCAGCACCCTCACCATGAAGAAGTTCCTTCGTGTGTTGGTGCGGAACTGCCTGGGCTCCGTTTTGTGCCCATTACCCCTTGTCCTGTCCCCAAAAAAAACTCTTTTCAGTGTTGGCCAAACCCCTCTGCCTCCCACCCCTCAGGTATTTATGCACATTGCTGAGATCCCCTCTCGGTCTCTTTTCCCCAGGTCTCTCTTCCTCTCCTCGCAGGGAGGCTGCTCCAGGCCCCTCTCAGCTTTCCATCCACGCTTCGTGCAGCTGGAGCTTGGGTCCTGCCCAGTTCTTCCAGCGCTGGCCGCGTACTGGCAGCACCAGTTGCTCTTACTGGCCTTACTGGGAGGCAGCGTGGGGCCGGCAGGAGCCCAGCCAGCGGCGCGTGCCCCCGGGGCAGGCCTGCGGTCGTGCTGGCAGCAGTAGCTGCGCTCAGGAGGCTGTGGTTTCCCCGAATCAATAGGGGCTGTGACGGAGCACGTTTCTGGAGCATCTCCACCGATGCTGGGGCCCGGGAAACTCCATCAGGGCACAGCGTGGCCCCAAAAGAGGGAGTGAGGAGGCTGCTGCTTTTGGGGTGCGGGTAGGTGACGGTGCAAAATAGCAGGTTTCTTTCAGCTCTTGCTGTGCCGCTTGCTCTGCCTCATCCCCTCAGCCTGCGTTCAGCCCTGGAGGAGGTGTTTTGTGCCCGGAGCACGTCCCCAAAGCCATCAGAGCCCAAAGCAGGTGCCCTGTTGGGTGTTGTTGGGCGCTGAGCACCCCGTGCCGGGAGGGATGCAGCGCGGCTCCGCTGTTCAGGAGCACAGACCTTGCGGCTGGCTGCCAGAAATCACGAGCTGCTGCTTAAAAAACCCATCTCCAAATCTATTTCTGGCAGGCTCCTGGGCAACCTCCTCCTAGAAAACTGTGGCCAGGGGAGAAAACGGGTGCGGGACGCTCACGGAGGCGCCTGCTCCTCCTCTTCCTTTCTCTTCTCTCGCCCTCGTGTGAGTTTTGCGCCTCCGCTGCGCGGTGCCCAGGGCGCAGCTCTCATCCAGCTGCTGCAGGAGGAGCAGAGGAAGCTCTCAGGTGATAAAAGCTGCGCACGAGGCTCTTGCCACAGGGCTACCTGGCGTCATCCTCACCTGGCGAGCTGCTGCTGGACCTTGGCTCCCCGCGCAGGGAGGCGATGCCCCGGGGGCAACGGTCTGGGGGGAGCGCCAGCGGAGCAGGGCGCTGGCACCGAGCTGCGGCAGCGCCACGTGGCCTGCTCGGGTCCAAAGGTGGGGCAGGACGCTGTCTCACCTCACAAACTCGGCGAGGGGAGAGGGAATTGGGGTTTGGGAAGTGCCTTTCAGAGCTGCCACACCCCAAAATCCTTCTGGGGCCGTGTCTAGCGGCAGCGGTGCGGGGGCGGCGGGCAGCAGCGCGCTCGGTGGCGGCTCTCGTGAGAGGCTCTTTGTCTCCTTACCTGCGTGGGCGCTGAAACGAAGCCCTTGTGGTTCTCACGTGTCTGCAGGGCTGAGGCCGGGGAGCAGCTGGAAGGGAGCACCAGTCCCGTGCGGTGTCCTCTGCCCCCAAAAAAGAGGGTGCCCCCTCTCCCAGGAGGAAATCCTTTTCCCCGCAGCCTCCAAACAGGGCTGCAGATGTGGCGCTGCGGGAAGCAGGTGGCTGGCGGCTGTCCTGGCAGCCTCGCAGAGGCTCGTCTGGAAATACGAGCCCTAAAAAGATCTCCGCGGGGCTTGCTCTGGCGAGCAGGCTCTGCAGAACAACACCGCAGCTGGCGGGGAGATTTTTGATGGTAGCGACCTGGATGGGAGGCTTGAGGCTACAAAAAGGCTGGTCCCCGCCGCCCCTGGGCAAACTACTTGTCTTCTCCTGCAGGGCCCTTCCTGGGAAGGGTGCGGAGGAGGAGAAGCCTTTGAGCCCTGTTCCTGAATCACTTAACTCCTTCCCCAAGGGCTCCCTAATTGCTCTGAGGCTCCCGCGTGTGCCTGCCTTTAAACATCTCCTTCCCAAGGCGCCGCTTGCACAGGGAGCCGTAAGCTCAGCATCCTCCTGGCCTTCACCACTTCCAGGTGAGCAGCTGTGAGGTGGAGCTGCTTCCTTCTTTTTCTCCTGTTCTGCAGGGAAATTCAGGGGCTGAAACCTCTGCCCAGCTCAGAGCATCCCTTGCCTGTCTGAAAGCCCCCTCTTGGGTGAAAACCAGGGCTGCAGGGCGGTAGGTGGCATCGCCGTTCCCAGCCACACATGAAGCCTTCTGTGCTCGGGGACCACTGCAGTCCTGTTCAAGGTGTGAACTGGGTGCGAGGGGTGCAGCAGGAGCCCTCCCAGCTTTGCTCAGCCGCCTGCCACCCGCATCCCTCTGCGTCCTTCGTCCCGACAGAGAGGGACGGGACGGCTGCTGGAGCCGGGTGCCTTCCTCCTGGATGCGTGTAACAGAGGGGTGGGAAAGCAGAGCTGCTTCTTAGTAGTGTTTTGCTCTTCAGGTTGCCTTTAAAGCAAATGAAACCAAAAGCTCTGTCTTTTACTTTGTGTTTTTGCTCCAAATATCTGAGATATTCGCGTGCGCCTTCCTGCTGAGCCTGCTGGGATGGCCGGGTGCATCTTGTGCATCTCGTCCCGAGTCGTGGCTGCGGGGACGCAGAGGGAGGTGATGGCAGGGCAGAGGGCTTGCAGCTTCCCAGGGAGGCCCAAACTCTGCCGTGAGAAGCTTTCCCTTCTGCTGTGGGGTAGGAGAAACCCAAGGGAGGGTCAGCCCATCTCGGGTTTTCTTCGTGGCACTGAAATCCTGCTGCTTTGTTCGTTGCTGCGTGTCAGATCGTGGCTGCGAGGAGCTCCATCCAAAAAGTCACTGCCTGGTTCTCGTAGTTGTGAACCTCCTCTAGCCCTCGTTCCTCCTCTCTGCAAACAGAGCCGGAGGGTTATGGGTTTTTTTGGGGGGAAAAAAAAAAAAGTTTTGTCTCTTTCAGGTCACATCTTGAAACTCGGCACCAGGAGCGGGCTCGCAGAGCTGCCTGCTCGGGACCGATCCCCCTCTGGGCCCTGCAGCCCTCCCCTCCAGATCCCTGGCGGGCTGTAGATGAGCGTAAAAGCTTTGTTTGGCTGTCACAAGGCTGTTCTGTCAGGTTCCTGTTCGTGCACTTCTATTTCTGCCTTGTTTCCCTCCCCTATCCCTGCTCTGATCCTGCGATTCCCGCTCCGGAGGAGCAAGGAGCCTCGGCTTTGGGGTTTGGGGAGCTGGACGAGGCTTCTGCTCGCCACGGCAGCTCCTCTCACAGCAGAGGGGCTTCAGCCCTGCTCGTGGACATCAGCAACGTGTGAAAACGGGTGAGAAGAGGGAAATGGGGCAGGCAGCGAGGCTGGGGGGCACCTCGAGCACCTCCTCCCCAGCGTCCCGCTGCCCCATGCGTCCTCCCTGCCACCGGCCGCCCCTCGCACCCTTCCCTGCACGCTCCTCGCTGCCCCCGTGCTCCCTCCTGGTGCCAGCAGAGAAGTGACCTCGGGGAAAACAAACAGGTCGGTGGCACTGAACGCCCTTAAAGCGTGGCAGCAGAGCACGGGCAGAGTGCAGGGGGGGTTTGTTTGCCCTGGCACGGCTCGGCTGCGGGTCCTGGGGCCTGCCGGGCTCGCTGCCTCCTCTCAGCCCCCGTGGGGCAAGCTGCCCCCCTCGTACCGAAGGGGGATTGTAGGAAACGGCCTCCTGGATGTTCTGGGGCCGGCCTCCTGGATGTTCTGGGGCCGCTGTGCCGAGCGCACGCTGCCTTGCTCCTGCCTCGGGGCTCCCCCAGCCCCCTCCGGGTGTTTGAGGCCGGGGCGCCTGCACAGCAGGGTGCTGTCTGCTGCTGCTGCCTCCCGCTAATGGGATTACTGAAAAGCCGCGGTGTTTTTCTGCCCGGGAAAGCTATTAGTGGAATCTGGGCTGTAAATCTGCGTTTTCTTCCTCGCGCACGTAATTGGATCCTGCGGAAACGTCCTGGTTTGGTGCTGAACGTTGGGTGTAAGCTCTGCGAGCCGCTCGTTGGGTGTAAGCTCTGCGAGCCGCTCGTGTCTCTAAACCCCGTAACGATGGCAGGCAGCTCAGTGCCGTGGTGGCACCAAGTTGTCCCTTGCAGGCCGTGCATACGCTTTTTTTTGTGCGTAGGAGCAGCTGCTTTTGGAAACGTCACCCAGCAGGGGCTGGAGATGGGGAGCAGCGGAGCTGGACAGAGGGCCCCTCATCCTGGTAGGGGTTTTTTAAGGAGATTGTGGCCCTCTGCTTGGAAGAAGCCTCCCCGGGGGTGAATCTTTGAGCTGAGGGGATGTGTCCCATCCGTGTGGCCGGAGGGACGTGGCTGGGAGCTGCAGGGTGGCTCCGTGGGGGCTACGGGGTGCAGGGAGGCTGCTGCTGCACCGTGCTGGCCATGGGATCGCTGAGATGGGGAAATGGGGAGAGGGGAAAGAGCTGGGACCTTCCCCAGGGCACAGCCCCAGCAGACAAACTGCAGGGGGCTTCCCCTGCCTCGCTCCTGGTGTGGCGTTTGTTCCCTCGTTCGAGGCCGTGACGGGGATAATGAGATTTAATGGGCCTGCAGCCCTCCTCCTCCCCTATCTGGTGGTTACTCCAAAGCCTATTATCTCGTAAGGCGTCCGGCGTTCTGTCCTCCGCCGCTGAATTAAGCTGGGATGGAAATTCCTCGGGGCTGAGGCCTCGTCTCGCACGGCCTCCAGCTCGGGGTTGTGGTGCTGCGGTGCAGCTCCCACGGGGTTCCCAGGGTAAGGATATCGGGATATCCTCAGCCACCTCTGAGGATCAGAAAGCTTTGGGGTGAGGGGCGAGACCTCCTGCTTCCCCCTTCCCTCTGCAGGAATCTTGGCTTTGTGGTGGAGAGGAGCCTTCTGCCAGGAGCCCCACGTCTCCGTCCAGAGCTGGGGTCTGCGCCCCTCTGCTCCTCGCTGCCGAATAAATCATCCTCTGCTGCTTGACCTGCAGCAGGGCGTGCGGGATTCGGGGATGCTCGTGGATGTGGGGTGGTGTCTGTGGCATTTCGGGGTATCTGCAGGACGAGGGAGGGGGCTGAAGGTCTTGCTCAGAGACAAATTCTGTCTTTCTGGAAGGAGAAGGTCTCTTCCAAGCAACAGGAGGTGAGTGGCACAGAGCTGCGATCCCAGTGGGTTATTCCGAACCACACCAGCACCCTGTTGGTGACCTGTCTCCTGTTTTAGGGGGGCCCAGGAGGTCCCTGGTCCTGCTCCTCTGGGAGAGCTGCGTGGCTCTGAGAGCTGGGGCAGGCAGGCAGGGCAGGGTGCATCAAGCTGTCCACGATGCAGCTGCAATTCCTCTGGCTGGCCAAAAACGCTCCCTGTGCTGCCCACGGAGGTCTCCTCTGCCTGTCCCGTGAAGGGAACCTTCCAAAAACCTCCGTGGTGAGCCCAGGAGCTGTTTGTGGGCTGGTGGCTGGCGTTGCTGGAGCTGGCCAGGTGCTTTTGGGATTGCTCAGCGCCGTCCCTGGTGTGAGCCCGTTCCTGGCTCGAGTGTTCGTGCGATGCAAAGATTGGTGGCAGGTGCCCGCAGGGAAAGCTTGATGTTGAGGATCTCCGGCTTCCTGCACGAGGTCCTGGAGCCCTGACTGTTGTGTTTTGACTTTTGTTTCCCCTCTCGTTCACAGTACAGCGCGGTGGACAGCAACCCCCTGTCCCTGTACGTCATGCATCCCTTCTGGAACACGATAGTGAAGGTGAGACCTCGTCCTGCCCCGAAGCAGGACAGCGAAACGCCGGTCACTGCCACAGTCTTCTGCTCAGAAGTGTCAGCTGCAGGGCCCTGCTTGGCTGAACAGACCCGCTTCGTTTGCGGTGTGACTAATTACAAAGGGCACAGCCTTCCAGCTGGTGGCTGCCCCGAGCTCACTGCATCGCAGCCCAAAGCTTTGCGCAGCCCCACGGTGTTGGATGCACCCGGGCAGTGCTGTCCAGCACCCAGACGACTGTAACCAGCTCTCTGCTGTGGCCGGGAGCAGCGCGTGGTCCTCGTTAAATATTCTAATGAGTTCATGTCTTCTTTTGCTGCTCTCCCATAGATCTTCCCTACCTGGCTGGCCCCAAATCTGATAACGTTTTCTGGCTTCCTGCTGCTTGTCTTCAACTTCTTCCTCATGGCATACTTCGACCCTGACTTTTATGCTTCTGGTAAGGCTGCCTTCTTCTGTTTGGATGTGTCACCTCCTCTCCTGTGCCTTCTGGTGCTCGGAGGTGAGCCCGTGCAGTCGGGGCCCTGCTGGGCAGCCTGGCTGCACCACAGGAGGGATGGAGCCGAGGGCCTGAAGTCACCGGGCTTCTCGATGAGGATTTGGCCAGGTGACACCTTCCCTCCAGCTGCTGGGTGCGTTTGCTCCTGGCCAGCTGCGTGCAGGCAGAGGACAAAACAGTCAAAGTCGAGTGGGATTCAGCTCTGCCTTGGCAGAGGACAAGAGCGAGTGCCCTCCTTTTGAAACAGAAAGTGTGGGAAAAGGGTAACGTGGGGAACTCTGCTTTCTGAAGGCAGCAAGCGGAGCCTCTTTATTTGCATCCCAGCTAATTAATTGCCCTCTTGCAGAAACATGCTGGCACCACGTTCAAGCTAACAAAAGCAAAGTCCTCATTCTCCATTTCACCATTTTGCATAACGTGAGGATGTGCGCAGCTTTACACTTTTTAAACAGTTCCCGTGTCCGCCTGTTCCTGAATCAGTTCAGTCATCTCCTTGCTTGTGGGAGTGTCCTAGGGAAAATCTTAACGCAGCATGGTAACTCTCAGTCACTTACCAATAGCTTCCTTTCTGTATTTTTTTCTCCCTCTCCCCCTGCCAGGTTTGGTTTAGGCTGCTCAGAACAGTTCATCTAGTTCTCCTAAAACCCGGCCAATCATCAAAGTACACTTAAGTGGAAAGTACAGTTAAGTGAGAAAAATATTTTAATTTTTTTTTGGTATAGCCTTCACTGATAGGTAGATGAGCACCGTTACCAGTATGAAAAGCTTTCAAAAGCTTGGGTGACGTGAGCACAGCTAAGATTTGGGCTGTGCTTTGGTCCGTGAGCCCTAGGAAGAAAAGCTGACAGCTCACAGGAGCCCAAAAATCTCCAGGACAGGACATCAGATATTCAAAAAGTTGTGCTCTGCCAAAGGGATGGCAAAGCTTAGGCTCTGGGACCCTTTTACGTTCATGTTACGGGTCTTCTGCTTGGAAAGAGAAAGTTTAATTTTGCTGGTGAGGCCTCCAGAAGCTTGTGCCTTCATGGCTAGCTGGTTTGGTGACTTGATGCTCTCCACCTGCTGCTGGAAGGCACCATCCCGATGCCCAAAGGGACACATTTTGGGGCGTTGTTGCTCCCTGTAGGAGACCTCTGTGCATCCTCATGCGAGGCTGCCACCAAGAAGCAGCTCCCTGCTTTTTTTGAGATGCAGCTTTGGGCTCCCCGAGTTGCAGCTAAGCTGGCTGGCTGCCGAGACAGCACCGGCGGAGGAGGAGAGGTTATTAAGGAGGAACTCGGTTTCAATTGGCAGGGACGAGGTCTGGAGACTGGGAGGGAATTCCCCACGTGCCTGCAGCAGAGGCAGGGCGCAGCCACTTCTCCAAGAGGCTCTGGTGATGCTCTGAGCAGTGCAGGAGGAGTGCCTGATCCGCACACGCTTCCATGCCCTGCGTTTGGGCTGCAGTTGCTAGCTGCCATCACCAGCTCTTGGCTCCTGTGGCTGGGGAGCTGGGGACAGAGGACAAATACGTCCTGGTTTGCAAAGTCCTAGGATTCCTGTCTCTGTAACCCTATTCCATGGGGAGCTGTGGGACAAACAGCTCTGCCACCTCTCCCTGGAGACCTAGCATCTGTTTCGCTGTTTGAATTGTGGGGGTGCTTTGTCTCGGTGAGCCGCTGGGCCTCTTGTGCCAAAATAAACCCGCCGAGAGCGTGTACTGAGCTGTCCTCCCCTGGGTCTTTCTGATCTCTGCAGCTCCTGACCACCAGCACGTTCCAAACGGAGTGTGGGTCATTGTGGGTCTCCTCAACTTCATTGCCTACACGTTAGGTAAGAGTTTATCTGCCTGCGGGGGGGGGGTTGTCTCGGTCATCTGTTCATGCTGCAGCTGCGTGCCATCTTATCTCCGAGCCTGCTGAAAAATCTTTGATTCTGGGCCTCAGCCACGGCCCGCTCTGATTGCTGCTCGTGCTGCTAGAGCAGTTCCAGGAACCGCTTGGCAAAGCGCATGGGAGGAAGGTGGCCCGGAGCGGCTGACGTGGAAGGAGGATGCTGGAGCTGGCTTTGAGGTGCTCTGTGAAATCCTGTCCCTGCTCTGCTTCAAATAAACTCTTGCCAGACTTTCCCTCTGTTGCATTTTTCAGTCTCAGGTGGAGGTGGGGAGCGGGACGTGCTCGCTGTTGAAGGATAAGGGCAGGGGGAGCTGGCTGCACGTCTTGTCAGCTGCAGGCTGGCCCGTTGCTCTGCGTAGGGGTGCCCAGCAAAGCTTCCCATTTCGGGAGATGTCTGTCAAAACTCCCTGTTTCTCCTTGCTCTCTTCCCAGACGGCGTTGATGGGAAACAGGCCCGCCGGACCAACTCCAGCACGCCCCTGGGGGAGCTCTTTGATCACGGCCTGGACAGCTGGGCGTGCGTGTACTTCGTCGTGACAGTTTACTCCACCTTTGGACGGGGCTCCACGGGTGTCAGTGTCTTCGTGCTCTACCTCCTCTTATGGGTGGTGTTGTTTTCATTCATCCTCTCCCACTGGGAGAAGTACAACACGGGGATTCTCTTCCTGCCCTGGGGATATGACATCAGCCAGGTGGTAAGTACGCGCCGCAGCGGCTTCAGCAGGAGCTCGATGAAGGGCTGGCGTGCCCGGGGTGCAGCTCTGGTGCCCGTGCAGCCCCCTGTAAATCAGACCCTCTCCGGGGTGGCTGTCCCCAGCCTGCCCCAGCAGCGTGGAGCAGGGCAGGGCTCGGAGCCGTGTGCTGAGAGATGTGTTGGTAGGGTTCAGCTTTGCACAAATATTAAATCCAAGGAAGTTTATGTGGGTTTTTCTGTTCGTAGTAGCTTTTGCAGCTGGATTTCCTACAAGAAACAAGGCTTGAGGAACAGATATCGCCTTGTTTCCTCTCTGTGTGTCCTGGGTATCTCCTGGTACCTAAATGCTTGCTCTAATTAGTTTCCTGCGTTACACCCCACAGGTACATTCAAGCCTAGAAGTTCGGGGTGCCTTTATGCACGAGCAGGATGCGTGCCAAAGTTCAGCTGTGGGACTAGTTTGCATGTTAATCACTGTGCCTGGAGCAAAGGTTCCTTGGGAGGTGCCCCCCTGTGGCTGGGTAATGAGGCAGTTGATGTTGAGGTTAACAGTGATGGACCGGTTGGGATGTTGGCACTTCCTTCTCTCGTTAAGGACTTCCCTGCAGGAAACGCCTTCTGAAGAGCCCATCAGAACCGTCTGGATGAGTAAAATTCAGCTTTATTGCTTGCAGCTGCCAGTCCTAGCCAGGGTGCATTCTCACAGCACCGAGCAGGGCACCGTACTCATGTCACATCCTGGGTGGGAAATGCAACAAGCTGGAAGGAGAGTGATTAATTGCAATAATTATCTCTCCTGGTAAAATGAGACTGGAGCTGGTCCCATCTGACTATACTCTGAGCTCCTCCCCAAGAAGCATTTTCTTGACCTGGGTGCTTTTGGACCTCTGCCTAGCACAGAAATCATAGAATCATAGAATATCCTGAGCTGGAGGGGACCCATAAGGATCATCGAGACCAACTCCTGGCACCACACAGGTCTGCCCAGAATTTCAGACCATGGAAAAAGAAAGTCAGGCTGGAGGGCTGAACTACCCCACAGCACGCTCCGTGCACCTTCAGGGCTTCCACCACAATTCAGGTGTTCCTTGTTAGCTTTTTCCGTGTAATAGTTTCAGCAGATGGCTGATAGGAGACCCAGGACAAACCTCCAGAGCCCGACTGCTGTTCCCTGAAGCTCCCAGGCGTGCGTTGTGCTGCCAAACTGTGGCCGTGCTGCTGACACCCGCTTCTCTTCTGCTTTCTTTCAGACCATTTCCATCGTCTACATAGTGACAGCCATTGTGGGAGTTGAGGCCTGGTATGCACCTTTCCTGTTTAATTTCTTATATAGAGACCTATTCACTACAATGATTATTGGTAAGAAACTCCATGTTGAAGCCTGTCTTTTAAACACAAACCTCTTTTCCCAACACCCAATGTCCTAATTATTCTGTGCCGCTGTTCTGTTTGCTGTAATGAAGGCTCTCGTGGGCTGTCACCCAGCTGACTAACGCAGGGTGTTCGTGCAGCCTGCCCTTTGCCAGGTCTCCCGGGGCAGTTAATTTGGAGAAGCTGACTTGCTGCAGCATGCCTGGGTCAGTGGTGGCCAGAAGGATGAGGAGGCAGCACGCTGAGCTCGTGCCTTCAGGCTTATTCAGGCTGATCCCAAGGGGCTGGCGCACGGTGGCTGTGCAGCCAGACCCAAAATCCTTCCTCGCCTGGAGCTTGGCTCCAGCCCGGGCAGAGGAGAGCTGCTGAGGGAGCAGGAGCTGGAGCCAGAATGCTGTGCCAGCAGCCTTGGGCTGCTGCAGGGAGCGATATTAGGTGGGGAAAACACCTTTGTGGGTCCTGCCCTCCATGCACTTGTCCAAAAATGAAGTAAAAGGGTGTGCAGCCTTCCTCCAGGAAAGCTGGCTCTTCTCTCCAGCAGAATAAGTCCCTGCAAAGGGGGGAGTAACGCAGGAACTGCTGCGTGGCTTGATGTGATTTGGCTTATTCAGAACTTCTTCCTCGACTGTATTTTCTTAACCTATGCCCTTTTCTTTAGGGGTTAATTATAAGTGCTTAATTTCAAGTCAGTGTGTCTTGAATTGTTACATTAAGAGAAGTGCAAGCATCAGATTTACCCAGGTGGATATTTTGAGCTTTCTTTTGGCAGCCACAGAATTTAAGATATGAATAATAAATGCACTTTGCCTTCGTGGAAAGTAGAGCACGATGCGTACACTCAGTGTATTTGTGCATTCGAATGGGAGTCAGGTTATTAAAAGCAGGAATACTTACGTGTCTGTTAAAATACCTCCTGCTATATAAACATGGAAGGAGTTGTGATGGACTTCCATGGGTTTGGGTGTAGCAAACGATGTTTCCCATTTAGGTCTAGATTTTCAGGTTTTTTATATCATTTGTTAAGCTGAATCACAAGAGTTTTGCACGATGGGAACTGGAAATGCTTGCACGTGGTGGGAGAAACAGCAGATTGGCTTTACTGTGAGGACTGAAACCTCTGCTGTGTGCATCCATGTCGCTTGTGGGGTTTGAACTCACCTTGGGTCCCATTAAAAGCAGGATTGTAATTAAACTTAGTAACTGTTTAAAGCATAACGCCGGGCTCGTGAATGAAACTTTTTAAAATTGAAATGTCCTTAATTAATAGCAGACCTTAACTTGTAATTACAAACTCTTGAACCAGAATCTTGAGCACCTCCTTTTAAACCTGCTGAGCTGTTCTTGGTGCACCTCTGAGCTATTTTGAGTTGCAAGCAGCTTAAACTGGAGCCCAACCATCTGCCCCTCCGTGGGGTGCACGCGATGGCCTCCCTCTGCGTGGGGCAGTAACGTGGCTCTTTTCTCTTCCAGCTTGTGCCCTCACCGTGACGCTGCCGATGAGCCTGTACAACTTCTACAAGTAAGTTTTGCTGTTTTTAACTCTCCCTACCTGCATTAACCTTTGCAGGAACCCCCAGAGCCTCTGGTGACCTGGTTGCCCTGGTAGCTTTCAGATGGGTGTTTTCAGGGTGACAAAGCAGCTTCTGAATATCCAAAAGTCTCAGTTGTGGGGTGCAGCCTGCTCAGCAGGGGCTTGCTGAAGGGCTCCTGGCTTATGCAGGCTTGTCCAGTTGTTCACAACCCAGGAGTGCAGGTGCCTTTGTCATTCAGGGCTTTCTTGGGTTTTAGGTTGACAATTAAGGTGTGCATCATCCTCGTGTGACTGTGCTTATGACTGGCGTTGGCAGTTTTGGGAGGCAGAATGGCCAGTGAGATTTTACGGGGCACATCTAGAGGCAGGGATCAGGTGTTTCTCAGCTGTGGTTCCTGGAGTTTTCATTTCTCTGTCTGCTTGCCTTGCAGGGCCTATAAAAATAACACCTTGAAGCACCACTCTGTGTACGAAATCATGCTGCCACTGGTGTCCCCGGTGTTGCTCTTTGTGCTTTGCACCACGTGGATCTTCGTGTCACCCATGGACATCCTGGAGGTCCATCCCAGGCTCTTCTATTTCATGGTTGGAACAGCCTTTGCGAACATTTCTGTGAGTGGCTTTTGCTTTATGCTTCTGTGTAGCCCCTGGGAAGCGTGCAGCCTCCCAGGGTGAAGAAAAATGCCAGTTCAAATCAGAGGAAGGAAGGGAGGTGTGAAAGTTTAACTTGAGACAGCTCTGATATTTTGCTGTGACTGAAAAGAACAAGCAGGAAAGCAGACAGGGTTTGTGGTCTGCAAATGTCACAGGCATCTGTGCTGCAGCTCTCAGCTCTTGCGAAACAAGAGACGTAGTTAACGTGAGTGTGTTCACACCCGTGCATCCTCTGTGGTGTCAGTAGCAAACTGTTAATATCAAGAAAGTTCTTGTTTCTTTTTGGGAGAGTAAACTTAAAAACTGGAGGGCCAGCAGCTGTTGTCCAAAGCTGATTTAGCTGCATGTTGCACCTGTGCCTGCTTGAGACCTTACCAAAGGTTCCTGTGCCTATTGTATCAGATCTGTGTCCGTGCTCTGCCAGCAGCCCATGCTGCTGATCGTGCAGAATGCTGCTGGTAAGGCTCGGTCAGCTCAGGGGAACTCCTTTTCCCTTTGAACATGCCCTTGATGGCTGTGACCTGCACCACAGGGCTCTGCTCTGTGTGTCTCACAGGAATTATAATGCAAAGGCAGATCCCAAACGAGAAGCTCAGAGAAACTGATGGTAGTTGTAAGCGCAGGCAATCGGTTTGTGTACCTGTGTGACCGTGCTCCACGCTGTGAACAGTTCTGGGCTTGCAGAGCCCGTGCTGGCTACAAACTCTGACAGCTTTCTCTCTCCACAGTGCCAGCTGATCGTTTGTCAGATGAGCAGCACACGCTGCCAGCCTCTGAACTGGATGCTGCTCCCCATAGCGCTGGTGCTCTCCGTGGTGGTGTCCGGCTTCGCCCCCAACAGTGAAACTCTTCTTCTCTACCTGCTAACTGCTTTCCTCACCCTGGCACACATCCACTACGGCGTGGTCGTGGTAGGTGAACTGGGCACGTGGGCGTTGGGCTCGGCTGCAGGCTCTGCTGGGGAGCTGCTGCTTAAAAACAGAGAAACAGCTTGGGGCTGCAAGCTCTGTGGGGCTGGCCGTGACCATGGGAAAGGTGGGAAGCTCTGGAAGGCTGGTTGGGTTTAAAACGAGCCTTGCACAATGTTCTCTGGGGTTCTTGTGCCAGAGATGGGTTTGAAACACGTCCTCGTGTCTCTGCTGCTGTGTTTTTAACTCATGGCTGTGGCTGCAGCTTAGAGACCAGCCTGTAGGTCAGCCAGTCTGCATGACTCGCACCCCTGGGCAGCAGGAGGCACTCCTGGAGATGCTCACAGCAGTGGCTGTGGTGTCTGCACGTTGGGAAGGAGAGCCTGGTTTGGGAGTCCTAGTGTCAAACAATTTGCTGTCAGTGGTTAATCTGCGACCCTACTGACGTGCCCTGTGCTGGGGAAGCGTCCCTTGCACTGCAGCTGCCTGCCTCCTCCCTGCTCCTGGGGCAGGGAGCTGGGTTTGCTCCCCTCACTCTCTGCAAACTCTGCCTGAGCTTTGATTAAGAGAGAAAACAAACTCAGAGGAGACCAAGTCCAGTTAGAAATGCCCTGGGAAGCTGCTCAGGAAGAAGTAGGGCAAGGGCCCAGATGTTCCCTGCAGAGCTGGCTGCTGCCACGTGTGTAAACCCTCCTTGGGAAGCCCTGTCCCCCGGGAGCCCCGGCGCTAATGTGGAGCCTCCAGAGTCAAGTTTGAGCTGTAATTACAGCGAGGAAGTAATACCCAGGTTGTCTTGTCTTTCCAATTAGTGTAATGAGGCTTCTATGCGAGAAGGATTTGAATAGCTAAGAAGCTTAAATAAATTTGGTCTTGGAGTCATAGCTGGAGATGGGAGACCGAGAGGAGACGGTGTAATCCTCTCTGCCCAGGCCTGCCCATCAGTCAGGGAGTTTTCCAGTGCTCTGCTCCCTTGAATTTGTGTTGCCCCTCTTCCAGCCTTCCCAGGGCCCTTCTGCAGCCTCCCCTCCCAGGACAGAAGCGCCTTTACTGATCCTGAGGTGCAGAACTTTTAGGGCAGTGACTGGGATGTAATCCCCAATATTCAGAACTTGGGAACGCTGGTGTGGACTAGATGCTGTGCCACGGCTTGCTGCCCTGCTCAGCACCTGGTGTTGCTCAGCACTGCTCAGCACTGCTCGCTGGTGGATCTGCAGTGCCCCACCATCCGTTTTATCCTCCGTGTCTCTGCACCTCTGCTGGCTGCCAGGCACGTAGAAGTGGTGCTTCCCAGGCTAACGGGGCTCTGTGAGCACCTGAAAGAGCCTTTTGCTGGTGCAGCTCTCGGTCCTTCGTGGTTTTCTCATTGCTTCACAAGAGGTGGTGAAAGCTGGCTTCCTCATTCTGCTGTAAAAGGCACCCGATTACCCAAACCTGGCATTGGGCACGCTCCTCACCGCTGCCTTCCTGTGCCAGTGCCAAGTACTCGACCCCCAGTTTTAATTGGAAACGGACTCAGGGAACAACTTTTCCTGTGGTTATCCGAGATTATCAAATTAATTGAAGGTAAATATTAATAATATTGCTCTGAAGGGCCAAGAAGAAGTGCTGCAGAGTAAAAACACTAGTGCCTGTGCTCGGGGCAGGGTGTTTCTGAATCCTGTGTATGAGGGTAGGATGGAGGCAAGCCTGCTCCTGGACAGGCTGGGCTGTTGCTTCTGCTCTAATTCAGCTGCTGTAAAACCTGGCTGCATAAAACCATCCAGGGAGGGGAGAGGAGAAATCTGCCCTCCCCGGTGTGGTGGGAGAACTGGGGCAATGCTGGGCAGACGCTGCAGTCCAGCTCTGCTGCGCCGGGGGGAGTATGTGGCTGGGACAGTGATGGGGAAAATGGGTGCAAGGAGGTGGCAGGGCTTTGTCAGCCGTGCAGGGAACAGGTTGGGCTCTCTGCCTGCTTTTCTCCCTGTTCCCCTGCGCCTTGCTGACCCTCTCCTGTTGCCTGCCTTGTCCCCAGGTGAGCCAGCTGAGCAGGCACTTCAATATACGACCCTTCTCGCTAAAGAAGCCCACGCCGGATTGACTAGGAGTGGAGGAAGAGAAAATCAGCTTGCAGTCTGCAGAAGTACTGTAAATAACTGCTGCAAATACCTGTAAATACTTCAACCATCACCACGGATCTAAACCTATCCTCTGGACAGACATCAGGGCAAAGTATGCGCGGTATCTGGTGCAGCCAGGTTGGGACTGGTACGGGACAGCATCTGCTGCTGTTCAGCGAACACAAGCCTACGGTTTTGGGTGAAACTGGACGAGGAGGGTAGCCTTTCAGGTCACTATTACTGTATTTTAGACCAGCTGAATGTTCCCAGTAAAACCTCAAACCCCAGCGCTTGCTCAGATAAAGCTGGTTGGGGATGCAGATGGCTTTACCTGAGCAAAGCACCTTGACCCATCACCAGAACCAACGTAGCAGCTGATTTCTGCGAGGTCAAGGGAACATCCTGGTGGTCAAGCGTTCCTGTCTGTCCCTAATCCTGTTAGCCCTTCTCCCGGGCCGGTACTTAAGGAGCAAACGGTGACAGTTCTCCCACATTCTGTCCTGCCTTCCTGCACTCATTCATTCGGGCAAATACTTGCACCTTTTTTTAAAGCAGAAGTAAACACACAACACTTGTAGTAATATTCTACTTAGGTGGGGGGGCTTAGGAATCAGGGCTCAATTTGATGTAGAAGTGGGGAGGCAGCTTCCCCAGCCCCTGCCTGAGCGGTGGGCACCTGGGACCACATCTCAATGTTCTCTGTGGGCTGGTACGTGGGCCCTGACCAGCAGTGAGACGTGGCTCACACCAGCCTCTGTAACACAGAGCCAAACCCCCCAATTCCTGCTGGTATGAACTGGCTGCTCCAGGTCGGCTCTGCTGGGTCGCTGCGTGCTGCCCGAGCCTTGTCTTCTGTGGCAGTGCAGCCAGGCTCAGCCTGCCCTTCCCACCAGCCCACTGGCAGCAGCAAATCCACAGCTCGGAGAAGCACCTTAATAATGTTTGTTGGTTGCGTGTGCACTTTCAGAAAGCTCACAGGTGTGTGTGTGGTGGGGTCCTTCCCAAATACCACTTTGTTTTCCAAACCGCTGTCCCCGGCGGCTGCGTGTCTCATCCAGGGATATATTTGTTTACTGTCCATTTGTAGAAGATGTTTGCATTGATTTTTTTTTTTAAAACATTACTGTAATTGAGTTAATTGAGTGGGGTGGTGAAGACTGAATGCTGATTTTCTTTTCTGTTCACTTTTATTTAATGAAGACCTGTGCTTGAATGAAGAGTGTAGCTTAAACCCAGGTTCTGGAAAGGCTGCATCCGGAAGTGGACAAGCACAGCAGATTGTGCATATGTAATTACCATGGGAACAAAGTCTCTTACACACTGATTATTGTGGGTCTTGGAAGCTTGGTCACGGCATTTTCCTTCCGCAGGTGAAGCCTCCTCCTCCTGCTTTAGGAAACCTTCAAGCTGTAACTACTATTTAATGATTTGGCATTTTTTTTGTTTGCATTTTTTTTTTTTTTTTTTGTAAATTTGAATCATTGTCATGCAGACTGAGACTTGAAATCCTGAGGCAGCTCGCAGTGTCCGCTGCTCTGCGCGGTGCCGTGGGTGGAATTGGGGTCTCTCGGTCACGGTACGTCCTGCGTGGGGTCGGCTGCGGCGTTCGGGCTGGCACCACCGGAGGGCTCGGCTGCTCGTCTGTCTGTCCGTGTGTCTGTACAGCCACGTGTCTGCGAGCGGTGTCTGATCCGGGAGAGGGGGCAAATGGTCTTCAGAATTTATTTAATAAAGTAGCTTACTCTATATATTTTACTGATATTGTACAGAAAAAAAAAAATTAAGTGTGCAAAGGAGTTGGGCTGTGCTTGAATCTTTGACTCTGGCTGTTTAATTAAATTCATTTATGAAGGGAGATAAATTACAGGGACTCTCTGAAATGGAACACAGCTCTTACCTGGGGGGCCCGTTCAGGTAGCAAAACTCTGCTAGCAGCACTGGCAAAAGCAGCAGTTAGATGATTTATTTTCTAGTTAGATGTCTGCAGGACTAGGGAACAACTGAGCTGTTCCCTCAGCCCTTCAGCTGAGCTGTAGGGTCCCGAGCTTGTGTTGTCCTGGCTCTTCCCATAGCTGGGCCCAAGGACTGGGCTCACCAGTGCTGCCAGGGGATGTCTGATCTTAAACCTCGGGGTGTCGCTTTGTCTCCTTACTACACGGTTTGTCTCTTGTCTTGCTTGGCTGTGAGCTGGTGGATTTTTGCAGCCCGTAAGAGTATGCCCTGAAAAAAGGCCTTTGTAAAGCTACAAACATGTGGAAGCAGGACTTCCTCTCTACAATCCTGCAAATACTTGTGCTGTAGGAAAAAAAGATGTCTCTTAAAAACTGGAACCGCTTCCTATCTGCACAGGCTTTATCTGTGAAGAGTCCTGGATTTTTGGTGCCTTAATTTATTGCACCTTGAAGCTAGAAAAATACCTGCTTAAATCTTAAATAAATCTTAAATCAGTGCTGGAAAGTAGGCTCGCTCCTCTCTAGTGCTGCCAGGCTCGTGGCAAAGCGAGGGGAGAGCAGACCTGGTCTTGGTGGGCACCCGACTCCGGTTCTGACTCGTGCTGCTGTGAAGCCGGGTGGGTTTCTGTCTGGGCTGTTGTAACGTGGGTGATTTCTGACCCCAGCTTCTGGGGGAACGGAAACACTTGAGCAGAAAGACCAAACCGTCTCGCCGTGGTGGGGTAGGGCATGCTGAGAAACAAATTATTTATTAATAATAATGGTTTGAAGTCTTAAAAATAAATTTATTCCTTGCTAACTGCATCTGAGGGTGTGTTATGGTGCTGGTTGCTCCCCTTGCTGGCTGGGCTGTGTCCTCAGCCCTGTCCGGGGCCAGTCCTCGTGGTTTGTGCTGTCGCTTCTTCCAGGGATAGAGTTGATCATAGTTTCTTAATTACTGGTGGACCTGCTGAGTTGATAACAGGACTGGTAGGTGCTTCCCTAAATCTATTTTGCACACTTTATCTCAATCCAGAGTATTACTGGGGGAGAAAAATCCTGTTCAGGGAGGGTGCAGTCCTTCAGGACCCACAGGACCGTCGGGATCCAGGCAGGTCCCAGTGCTGCTCCTGCTCCTTGCTGTGTTCGGTCACTGTTCATGGTGAAGTGGGGAGCTGGGACACGTTAGCAGGCTGGTGCTGGGCTCACCTGGCTGGGACAGCCTGGCAGACTGGGTTAACGCAGGCTTTTTATCTCAGTTGTGTGGCTTCGTGTCTCAGCTCCTGCCTCTGCACCATCCCAGGGACCTAGCGCAGGAATTCCTCGGCTGGGGCTGGCGTGCGGGTGTTGTGGCCTCCTGGAGTTTGCATTAAAGCAGTGTTCACACTAAGAAATGTTTTATAGCTGCAATCACTGCCTGGAAATCATGGACGTGGGCGCTGTGGTTTTAGCTCATTCCTTCCCCTCAGTGTCTGTGCCGCAGTTGGCTCCGGCTGTCCCGTGGGGGTCATTGCACGGCTCAGCAGCAGCCTCTCCTTGCAAACATCAGGCACCCAATGCAGCCAGGGCCAGGGGTGCAGGATGCTGCAAGTGTGAGCTTCTAATGCCCTGAAAACATACTTTAGAGCTGGCCTGGTGTTACTCTGGGTGCGGGGAGTACGTGCAGTTTGTAATCTGAGAGCAGCTTTGATCTGTGCCTCTGAAGAGCCAGTCAGTTCTAGCAAGACCCCTAAAATCCCCTCCTCTGGGAGCATCTGTGCCTGCGTGGGATAGACCTGGGAAGCCTCTGGGAAAGTAGCAGAGATTTGTGTATACACAGACCCGAGAGCGCAGCTGCTTTGTGTGCACGCAGGAGCTGTAGCTAAAGCTCTGCTCCCCTTAGTTTATGGCACAACCGGGCTTTTGTACCCCAAAACCTGTAGGAAATTCCCCGAAGCTGTCTCGTTTCCAGCTGTCCTTTTTTGCTTAGTGTGCAGCACTTGCTTGAGGCGCAGGAGGAGTTCCCCCCACGGATCAAAATCTTCCTCTCCCCCTCGTGCAGGGAGCCTGGCCTGCTTCTGTCCCTCGAGCTTGTAGTTGAAGTGGGTGCTGGTTTTGGTGGGGGTCCCTCAGCCCACCCTGCCTGCCCATGAGCAGCCCTGGCATGGCTGCGGGCCCCAGGACCCCGATTCCTTCCCTGGAGCCGTCCTCAGGCTGGGAGTTTAGGTACTGAAGTGAGTTTGGATTCGTCTCTTAAATGCTATTACTGAAGTATTTATTGTGTTTAAAATGAACGAAAAACTATTACAGTTCAATAAAGAATGAAATTTTCCAAGCCTTTTAAGGGTGTTTGTCTTTTTCTTTTTCTTTTTTTTTTTTTCTCTTCCTTCTGCAGCTCAGTACAGGGATGTGAAAGGTGATGGAGGCAGGGGAGCAGCACATCCTACCAGGCTCTCCATCACTCCGCAGCCTCCCCAGGGCAGGCAGGGCTCCTTGGAGGACAGGAGCATCTGCTCAGGGCTTTGTGCCCTGCTCCTGCCACGCCAGCAGCTCATTGACAAGGTGCAGCCTTTGCACTGAAGCCGCTCCCTACAGCAGCATCCATCTCTCGGGCATCAGGCTCTGGACCTGGCCTTGCTCCAGGCTGCCTGCCCTGCCCTACAGCACGTGCCGGGGTCAGCACTAAGCCCTGTGCAAGCGATTAAATCTCTTAACAAGCCTTTAACAGTTGATGCTGAGTTTCCAGGAACAACTTGGGGAGAGCTGGGGCTGCGTGGGGACGTGGCCACGGGGCTCCAAGGTGCAGGGAGCAAACAGGCATCGCTTCACTGGGCAGCCCTTCCCTCCACGCATCACAGCCCACTTCCACCACGCCTCATCCCGTGTGGTGCTCACCCTGACTGCTCACAAAAGCGCCCTGGGAGGAGGAGGAGGAGGCTGGGTGGTGGTGGAAAAGTTTTCCCAGTGCCACCCGGCTTGCCTTGCAAAAGCAGACAAGTCAGAACACGGCCATGCCCCAACTGAGCTGTCTGAGCTTGCAGCGAGCTCTCAGCTGCTGGCTGCAGCACGAATCAGGGCGATCCCCACCTCAGCCCTGCACCAGCACAACCGGAGCCGTGCACGGGGCAGTAAGCAGTAAGATCCTTTGTGTGAGGTGCCCAACGTTTACTGTTTTCAGTGAAATAGCAGCACTTTGTTACAGTAACTGGATCGATACTAATCCATCACCACAACAAGTCAGTGATTAGTCTACTATGTAGCCAAGTTGCTAGATCTTGCCATAAATATGGTGCCTTCAGGGGTTGAAGGTTCACACACCAACAAGTGCACAAGCATGTAAGGATCTCAGATTTGAGGAATAACCCTGAGAGGCATTCTAGCCCCGGTGGGCATCACATCTGCTGCTTCCACAAGGAGAGCTCGTTAGGCCTTCTCTGACTGCTGTATTAATGAGATAAAGCGCTTGGCTCGTAGTCAGTCCTCTACCACATTGGTTTTGGTCTCTCCGTGTAAATTGCTACTTCTCCATGAGTAATTTCAATGGATCACCTGTTCTAGGGCTGTACCCCCTGTTTTGTGGTCGTGGCTGTGAGTAACCGCCCAGTGCTGTTAATTAAGGAGCTGCCCAGTTCAGGGAACGCTCACACCGAGGTTTCCTGTGGTTTGTAACCTGAGCAAGACTGATGCTGAGAACAGGAGCTGGGCGTATCCGCCACAGGAGGGCACCTTGTTTTGTGGCCACCAAATGGCACCGAAGATGAGCTGGGCGTTGAATCACAGAATTTCTAGGTTGGTCTGAATCACTGCTCTGCGATTCCCCCAGCACGCCCACTTAGGATAAACAGAGAGGAATGGGCTCAGGGGCTGGAGCCCTCCTGGCTGCAGGCTGGGGGCAGAGCCTTGAGCAGAGCCCCGGAGCCCTGTGACCTCTCCCCGCACCCTGGGCCATGCTCTTTCCATCCGGGCTAAAGCCTAGATGTATATGTGACATCTTGTTCTTTATCATCTGTCTTGATGGCTTCCTCTAAGAGGATTGTTGCGGTAGGTGTAATATACTTAAGGGATTGTTAATAACAGAAGCATTTTGCAGTGCTCTGTGTGCTGGTGGTGCAGGCTGCGAGCTGTGGGAAGTCTGGTTTGGCCACAGGAGCTGGCCAGCTGGCACATCCACACGCCTTCGGACTCACTGGGGTGGGTCCAGGCCAGCGGGGCCAAGTGCTTGTATGCCTGGGGGTCATTTATCACCTCCAGGAACACGGCGGGCAGCGCTGAGCGATTCCCACCATGGGGGATCGACATACGAGGATGGGAGAGATCGGAGCATTTACCTGCGCTGTGCAGAGCTGTTTGCAGCTCTGGGGAGGCAGAAAGAAAAGCCCGCAGCCTCCCATCTGGTGAAGGAGGACAGACTTCTCTGCTAGTGCTCGTGCCAGGAGGGGCTGCATGCCTGTGGATGCTGCTTTCCTCAAGGTTTGAGCGTGGCTGAGCAATTGTCCTGAAAAAAAATCATTCCTCTACTGCAGTTTTCCTCTTCCGGGCTAACCCCGGTGGGCAGCTGAACCCCACCCAGCTTCTCACTCACCCCCTCCAGCAGGATGGGGGAGAGAATCAGAAGGGCAAAAGTGAGAAAAGCTCATGGGTTGAAGGGCAAAGTGTTTAATTTGGGTGCAACGGAAAAGAGAAAACAACCAAAAAAAAAAAAAAAAAAGACGTGATGCCAGAAGCAATCCTCACCGCTAGCTGACTATTAAACCTGTACAATCTCCATCCCTTATTCCATACCCTCAGCATTAGGCTCACATCCCACACTATCCAACACATCCTCGTTAGCCACCAACACCCTTCCCGTTCTTTGATTTATACACAGGTATCATTCCTTCAGTCTTTGAGCCACCCCACAAAAACAAGTAGAAGTCACGTCCAAAGTGTAGCTGCCTCAGCAAGACATCTGCCACAGGAGAAATCAGCTGGCCATCAAGGAAGAACTTTAGGCACCACAAGCACAGAATTCAACAGGATCCAGCCCCACATGCAAAAGATCTCAAGATCCCTGATGGAATCCCTGGACACCACACAAATCTGCATGGACATGCTGGGCAAAATGAAAAAAACTACTGAGACTGATGCTCAAGATATGCACAGAGCACTGAATAAGGTGTCCCCTCTCTGCTAGTGAGAAATGACGTGAGGAATGCGGTGATCCTCTGCTTGGGGACACACAAGAGGGATCGAGCCTACAGTAGGGAAATCTGAAGAGACCGAGCAGGAAGGAGCAGCAGGGACACCACTCCACAGTCGCTAGCTCTGTGGCTGTGCGTGGAGCAGGACAGGGGAAGTCTCTCCACACCCCAGATCCCATGTGGCCTCTGCCCCCATGGGCACAGCCACCTTCCCCAAATGCCCTTGACCAGCTTCAGAGAGCTGGGATGGAGCCACTGCCGCAGGTGCCTTTCATGGGCCTAGGTCAGGGTGGCTCCATGCAGTGTCTGCGACACTCCTGGGGCAGATGAAGAGCAGAGTGTTGAGAAACATTAGAAGAAAGGCACAATGTGTCTGCAACGCATTTGCCATGGGAGACATCAGCTGGCCATCAACGAAGAACTTTAGGGGCCACAAGATCAGAATTCACCAGGAATAGCTGGAATTTCGATCTTTGGAAGTTAAGACCCCAGCTCCAGTGCCACAAGCACAGTGGCTGCCATGATGGCCCCTAGGGACCCTCCCTCAGACTCTGGGCTGTGTCCTGGGGTGTGCTGCCCCACAAACCCTCAGTGGGGGTCTTGGGGCCACTTCCTCAACGGCTTCATAGCTTTCTGCAACACCCTGGGTGTGTATGTCCAGGATTTAGGTTCAGCGAGGCTTGGGCTTGTCCCTGCTGCCCTGACAAAGGGCCCTGCTTGGGGACACCAAGTGCAGCTCCGCCCAGGGCTACCGTGGCAACCATTATGAGGTCAAAGTGATGTCACCATTGCATCACAAATGTGGCCCTATATAAGTGGGGTTTGGGGGCTTGGCTGTCACTTTGCCTGCGCGTCAGCGAGGAATAAGCTGATCGAGCAGCTGACGAAGGCAAAGTGTGTTGAGGTGGCCACAGTCAGCGTCAGCTGAGTGCGGTAGCGGAGCTGTGCGGAGGAGCACGGTGGTGGGTAGGAGCAGGGTGCTCGCTGGGCTTTTCGGGTGCCTAAAGCCCAGACCCCAGGCATCCTTTTGGCTGGGAGGGTTGGGGCTGCTCTCACAGGGCCACTTCTGAGAGCTGGGTGCTGTGTTTTAGGTTACATCTCTGAGCAAGGAGACGGAGTGAGAGCAGTGTTTGGGCTTCAACCTCAGGATGAAAACCATGTTTAAGCTGAAGATATGGAGGCTGGAGGTGCTGCTGGCCTTTTTGGGCCTGAGCACTGTGGGCCTCTATCTCCTTGGGGTGCCATGCACCCCTTACTTTCTGGCCCTACCTGTTCTGGCAAGCCTCGTGGCCAGGATACATAACACCAAAGCCAAGGTAGGAGCCAGGTTTCTATCACTCCAAACTCTCCCCGGGCACAGCAGGGATGAGCCGAGAGCTGGGCCCATGCCTGGGGCACTCTGCAGAGGGTCTATTTAGGAGGCAATAGTGAAGGAAGGCCATTGCTCAGGCAGCAAGGGCCCTTCTCCACAGCCTCAAAGTCACCTCCATCCAGCACTGGGCTGGGCCCTGTCCCTGTGACCCCATTACCCTTCCCAGGTCCTTGCCTCCTGAGCAGGGGCCATCCTGGCCACGAGGGGACACTCCCCACTGAGCCAGGCTTGCTTTCTGGTACAGGGCTCTTCTGGGAAGAAAGTGAGCTGGAAGAGCAGGAGGAAGGCACGGAAAGGTGAGCAGCCCCATCCCAGAGCTGTGCCAGGCTCTGCAGCGGCCTCTGGCTATGAGATGCCACTGCCGCCTGGGTCCCCACAGTGGCAGCCCTGGCTCATTCTCAGTCATATTTCTACCCCAACAGTTTCTTCACGATCCTGGCACGATGTGGAGGTACCTGCAAACAATCTGCTAGCAGGGTAAGCAGAGCTCACTCCTGTGTGGAGCATTCCCCTCTGGGAGCTCCTGGATGGGGAACCCCACACCTACATCCCCCTGCCCGAGCAGCTGCACCTTAGCAGCAGAGCAGGCGCTCTCTGCTAACATCCACAGAATCTATCACAGAAAACCTTGAGTTGGAATGGACCCACAAGGATTATCAAGTCCAACACCTGGCTCCACACAGCCCCCCGCCCCCAATCAAACCATATTTCTGCAAGCTTCATGCTTTTCCCATGGGGCCTATCACTGCTCACCAGACAGAAAACATCAGTGCCTGCCCCTCCGCT